GCCCAATCCACTGTGCACCGGCCCCTTACAGATCCTCCTGCAGGTGGTGGGCCCACGGGAGGTCGTCCCCACGTCTCTTGTTCGGGCTAAGTCCGGCCGGACCCCGTGAGGGGAGGCCCGGCCACCAGGTGCTTGCATTCGAGCCCCGACCCTGGGCCTGGCTCCAGGGTGGGGCCCCAGCTGCGCCATGCCAGGCGACGTCACAGTACTTGGTTTAATTCTATTCATAAAGGGCTTTTGAACTGCTCTTGGTCTGACCCATGACCCAGGACCTGTTTGCCTTGGGAGACCCTACCAGGGACATATAGCCCCCGACAACATAGCTCCTAGGATTACTCAGGTACTCAAACCCCTCCACCACAATAAGGTGGCGGTTCAAGGAGGGAACTCTGACATATTGATATTCAGATTATTGATGGAACAAAACGTGACTGATCATTGTCTCTCTCTCTTTAATGAAACATTGTTGTCATCCAGGAGGCTGACAAGCATCGCCTTCAGCGACATGAACCCTTTCCCCAGCCGCCTGCTGAGAAACCGGCAAGCGCTTCACCTGGAGCGCCTGCAGAGGGAGCTGCGAGAGCTTGAGGAGCAGCAGAGGAAGTTTGTAATGAAGAGCGCTGAATGTAAAGACCAAGATCTCGACACTACGATCAGTGAGGATAATGATGAACTCTGAACTCATGGTGGCGTTTGAGCTGAGTTTTACAGAAATGTCTGAGGTTTGGCGCTTTAAATAGTTGGTCAACAGCAGCCTGTTGCAGCAACTCAACGCAAGTCTGATCAGCAGTTCAGCAAGTTAATTTCTCACTAAACTCACCGCCTCAGTCAGTTTAGATAATACAGGCCAGAAAAACACTAGTGAGGCAAACAAGGATGCCGACAGTCAACTTGTTTATTACAAAGAGACAGTTTTATCAAGTGTGAACTACTGAACTGATACATGTATTGTACTTTGGTTTTAATTGAAGTGAGGTTTTAACAAAATGCACAAATAAATTTATAAATATCCAATGAAAAATAAATAGTAAATCTCTGAGTATCCACTGAAATAAATGTTTATTATAAAACTCAATTCCAGCTTTATATGTTTTAATCAGTGTTAAGATTACCTTCAAAATGTAATAGGCTACAGATTACTAGTTGCCCTGTTACAGTTATCCACAATTGCTAAGACAAACCCCATTCTCTGAACCAAATTGTGGTCCGCTCTAAGTGTGGGGTTCCCCTCCCCCCAGGGTTTTTGTTCTAAACGGAGGGGGGGGGCCTACCCCTGGGGCTTAGGTGTTAGGAAATATTCATAATGGCTCTTCCCACTTCGTCCAGCGACTAGGTGGTTTGGAGTAGATGGCCAAGGGCAAGGCACAGGCCAATGCATGTCACTTAAGCTCTTGTCACTTTGTGCTGTCTTTCTTTCTAATATTTGTTTAATGCTGAATCATTTTCGAGTCTTGAATGTTTGTTACTTAATCTCTTACATTGTGTTACTCCTCTTAAGGCTATTTAGTTATGTTCTGTTGATTGTTTTCCCATATTTGTGTTCTGAGTACAAACTATGCTCCGTGGTTTATTTTCCCATGTTCTGGTTTAATGATGGGTCTGGATAGATTTGTGTGCTGTTGTTTGTGTCTAATGAATAAATGGGGATATAAGGTTACTCAACCTCAACTAAAATAAGACTTACCTACACTGGGTTAAAGACAGTTTCAAGAGCCCGAGTAACAAGGCTCATTGATTTGATTTGATTTGATTTATTTATTCTTTCAAACATGTAACAACAGTCAGTATGTAACCACACATAATTCCAGACATATCCACAAATATATTTTCAATTTGCTTATACCTAGTACATGCTTGAACGGAGTAGGAAGAAGTTAGACTTATCTAGTCCTACCCCCTAACATCATCTTATCATCATTGGTTTGCAAGCAGTATTACTACATGGATAATTTTGTTCTACACCACGCTAGTGATATACTAAAAACACCACACTCCCAATGTTACACCTGATTAATCGTTAAGCCTGTTCTTGCCCATATCTTGATTGACACATACCTTTATATTTGTGTTTAAACTCATCAATTTTCTTACTGTTTTTTATGTCCACACTTAAATT